TTGCTCGACGATATTATTACTTAAAAATCTTTGATTCGTATTGCACAAATATATTTCAATAGTTGTTTGCTATGAATTATTCCTTGATCGAGTATTGCTGGATGATATTATTAATTAAAAATCTTTGATTCGTATTGCACAGAAATATTTCAATAGTTGTTTCGTATGAATTATTCCGTGATCGAGTATTTCTCGAGGATGTTATTCACTGAAAATGTTTGGTTGGTATTGCACAAAAATATTTCAATAGTTGTTTGCTGTGAATTATTCCTTGATCGAGTATTGCTCGATGATATTATTAACTAAAACTCTTTCATTCGAATTGCAGAAAATATGTGAATAACTCTTTATTAGGAATTATTCCTTGATCGGTTATTGCTCGATGATATTATTAATGAGAATTTTTGATTCGTATTGCACAAAAATATTTGAATAGTTGTTTCGTATGAATTATTCCGTGATCGGGTGTTTTCCGATGATGTTATTCATTGAAAATCTTTGATTTGAATTGCACAAAAGTATTTGAATAGTTGTTTCGTATGAATTGTTCCTTGGTCCAGTGCTCGTCAGTGATATAGTGAGCTTGAAAACTTTGCGTCGAATGGAACAATATATATGAAACATGACTTGCTATTGTCCTTTCTTCTTTGGTGCATTGCTATAGGTAAATGCTCGTCATCGTTTCTTTGAAGCGAGAAAGATATTTGAATAAGATGTTTAAGTCAGGTATGTTATTGCAATAATATAGAGTGCCAATGATAACCCAATTCCTTATTCCGTTTCTGAAGAATTAAAAGGAGGATGGAGAAACGTGCCCTTTTGATTCCGTAGGAATTGCACTAACAGCTTTATTTTCTCTGTAGGAGCTATGTTACAAATCCAGCATCACATTCTTAAATGGGACAACCCAATTAACTATCACAAAAATCAACGAACATTTTGTAGTACTCAGCTTTTTTATCTATTCTCGTAGGTAGCTAGCTTTTTTTGTTTGTATTGTGAACCACTTTCTTCTTTTTATTTTTGTTGTATTTTTAATTATTCACGCTAATAAAACAAAACAAATGAAAATATTTTGTTTGCAGCAGTAGTCCAATTCATCACAAGCAAATTTCAAGAATTTTGCTCATTGATTCAATTTCCCTTGTACGATTATGTGTTTCATTTTATACCCTTATTTCTGCTTAGAAATCGAAATTCAGCTTAGAATCCTGATTTCCTAGCAGAATTGTATTTCATCACATACATATATAAATCAAAACTTTGCTTAGAATTTTGCTTTCCCAGCAGAAGTTAATTAGAATTCCGTATCACATGGAGAACTTTGTATGATCTTACATATTTATACCGAGGACCTAAAACAAAATTCTGCTTAGAATTTTGTTGTTCTAACAGAGTTTTGCCAGAATTCGGATCTTATATGAGAATTGCGAACCAATATGAATCATATGTGATTAACAAACCTTAAGCCCCCCCCCCCCCACTCAAAAATCGATCTCACACCAGGAACGTTCGAATGAGCTGAAATTTGGAGCATATGTTGGGGCTGATGTGGGGAGGCTGTGGTAAAGTTTTCAGCTCAATACCCTGATGTTTGACAGAGATATGAACCAAGCAAGGATCAAAAATTGCTCATTTTGGTACAAGGATTTCTCGGTCCAGGCTCTGTTAACATATTTAAATTTTTTTTGTTAGAAAGAGCATGTCAGGATGCAGGGCACCACAGAGTCCTTTTTTTAAGATTCTTACTTTTTTAGCGGAGAAAGGAGATCACAAGTCCAATGACTCCAAAAACGCGCGTAAAACGGGTGTCCAGTCACATAAGTGTCTGTATATATAATAAAAAACGAAGCTTAATTAAAAAAGACTCTGTGGTGAGCTGTATCTCGACGCGCTCTTTCGAACAAAAAAATAAATTAAAATATATTGTCCGAGCTGGGCCTGAGAAATCCTTGTCCCAAAATCAAAAAATCATAAATCGAGAAAAAACGAAAAGCATTTTTCGTTTTTTTAAAAATAAGCATATTTTTCAAGAAGAGGTCAATGAAAATCATCGAAAATCTTGGCCAAAAAAGAGATGCCAAAGAAAAACCAATGTCGTTTTTGCAAGATCTGAAGACGAGCTATCTTCCCATGCATTTATCTCAATTTCGAAATTTTTGACGGAAATTGACTTTTTTTGAGTGGGGGGGAGGGCCTTAAATAACATAACCCATGTATTACCATTTTCATTACAGAATTGTAATAATAATATAATAAAATCGTAACACTATGTAGAAATTAACAAGTAACCCTCGACTGAAGGGTTAGAAGTACTTATACGCTAGTCCACTTTATCGAGACAGTTACTAATGGTATCACATGTAATCACCTATATTGGTTTCCATATTTTATGATCCTTCCTTCAATCGAGGGAATAAGTTCTTTGAGTGATGTTTTCCGTTAAATGTACTATTCAAATATTGTGCATGTGCAGAAAAGCTATTCTCACACTTTATTTCAAATTACTTCTCAGTTCTTTGCCACTGCTAGCCACTATTCAAACTCATTAGATCTACATTGTTGACATTTATCCGATGAATCGTAATAGCCTGAAGCTTTTCTTCAGGGAATCTTTCAGTGCAGCGGCTAGTCGCTCGTCGGAAGCCCGGAGGGGCGCCACTCGCGGCTAGCCGCTGCCACGTATAATCCCATTCTCCCATAAGATCATCCTCTTTGATTTACACTCTATCACATTCCAGGCTGCTCTTACTTTGAAAAATAGTTAGATTTATAACACGAGAACTCGCTATGCGCAGACCCGAACCGGCATTTTGTTATGAACTATTCCTTATTTCTTCAATCTAATTGTCTAGTTGAAAAGTCAGAATTTTATTAGAATTCCTAACAACCCTTAGTCATATCCTCACCCCCCCTGACTGTCCTCATTTCCATCGGCAAATCCCTCCCTATGTAGATTCTTATTCTGATACCTCTCAACAATTGCATACTTATTCATATTACTCTCTGAATTCCCACAGCTATCTCGAAAATTATCATCAACCACACCTGTATTCACACACTCATCACAATCATCGTCCTTATGCTCACAATCCTTCACGACCATGATCGTTATCTTAACACATCTCCACTCATTCTTATCTTCAAACCTCTCTCCACACCCATATCCCTGTTCTCATACCTCTTAGATCTCCATCTATATTCCATCCAACCACATATACTCGCATTCTCATCTTCATATCCGTCTTAACAGTCACAGCTGTATCGAAAGTCTTAATTAACTACATGTCTATGTACAGACTTATTTACATCCACATCGTTCTGCCGAAACCTGTCCATATTCACATCACTATTCTCACACCCATACCCATCTTCCAGCACATTTTCAAACTCGTGCAATTCTATAGGTAACCCTCACGGTGTACATCTGCTTCGTCAAATGCTGTCAGACTCCCATCATCATCTCCAAGCGTGAGTATCTACACGTCAACCCTCACATATCTTTACACCCACAGACCAACAAAGTTCCAAATCCATAGCGCTGAAATGATGCTAAGTCGTTTCCGGCGAAGCTGAACTTCTTCCATGTATACTTCATGCAATTGCTTTATTTGTTCTTCTGTAACACTGAGTGTCTTACCAAGGGCATATATACCTTCCACTTCCTTTGGATGAAGTTCTTAATCTGCACCCACTGCTCGAAATCCATCGTAAATTAAGGCCAATACACTGTGCTTTGCAAACAGGTAACCACTTTCAATATGGAAAACGTTCAGGAACTCATTTATACCTTTTTTTTGATAGTTCCGAAGCTCGTCTATAAGTACTTCCCGAACTCCTAATGCACAAAGGTATTAGTGCTCACTAAATTTAAAATAAGAGACGTTTACCTAGAGCAGCACCAAGTCCGACTATCCATTGACGCTCAGCTTCACTCAAAACTCTATCCGTACCAGCAACTTCCATTAAAGCTACCATGTAATCTCTATTCCCCTCACTTTTATAAACTATGTCGCCGAAATCATAGGTTTCTTTGTACAACCAACGAGCAGCAGTCAGAATACGATCACTCACATCAGTAGACATTTTATTTTTCACCAAATCGAATATATAAGAAGACTGTCATATTGCCAACGATTGATGAATATTATTAATACAAGGCCACAAAATTATCTTATTTCTTTCACTTTCTCTTCTCGCTATATGTTATCGAAAGTAATGAAGTATCTATTTTTAATACTATATAGAAAAACAACTAAAGACAAAGAGAGAGAGAGAGAGAAAGACGAATAGCAGTAACAGTCAAACACTGCACAGCTTGTCCTCATAACTCGACCTTTATATTTAGATTCATCTCCAACTATATGCTATCAACAGTAAAACTATGAATGAGAAATAGAACGATGGCCATATAGATTAATATGAAGAAAGATAGAACACAACCAAAAGTATATCAGAGATACACAAATAGAAATGTAATGACATCTGGTAGTGTCATCAACTCTTTTATCTTAGTAACCATTGATCTACTTTTATAGTGATATATATTGGATAAAAAAGTAAAAAACAATTCTATTTATTTATTCATAGTGTGTATTATGATGTCTGATGAGAAATGTATAGTAATAACTATTATCCATGTAACCATAAAACGCATCTCAACCCAAACAGTTCCATTTTTGCATCTGAATGCATTGATAACTAGAAATAATATTAAGTTGAATGGGTCTATGACAATTGTGTGTAAGACAATTATGAGAACAACGATCATATACATATCAGTTATATGGAAAACCTGAAGACTTAGAAAAAATGAGTTAATCATTGTACTACTAGATACTGCTTTTACATGATGAAGATATGACTTCATCATTTTTGTAAACATATTGAATACAAGTGAGGGTTTATTTCAGTTCCACTAATTATATACAAAATAAAAAGAGTATATAAATAGAATTACGGTCCGAATCTCGAAAAAATCTCAAAAATATAAACCTTGAAAATGAAAAATCTTAAAAACGGCAATCCGTAAGATGGAAAATGTTGAAATATTTTATATCGAAAATAACGTCATCTCGAACAAGAGCTGGTAGTGTGTGAATGTGTGGGGTGTGGGTGCGAATAGCAGTAAAGAGAACATTCATACCCACACCCACACCCTACACCCACACCCCACACCCACACCCACAACCCGCCCGAACCTGTGATAAAACTAATTTTCCATTAGATAAGAACATATTACTTACTGAAAAAACTCCGGCACGAAAGGGTTAAAGAGCAAAAAGCCTTGAAGCACGCAGAGAAAAGGTCTTGTTCTTTCTTTCTATATCTCTTATTATTTTTTTGTTCTGATATGCGCAATAAAGAAAAGAAAGTCTAATTACAGCACACTGTTGGTTTACTAGCTTTGGCAACATACTGAAGCGACCATTGTTTCGATAAGCAAATGTCTATGCAATTGTCAGAGAGTCGAGCAGAAGTATAATTTTTGCAGTTACTTTCATTTCTAAAAGAAAATCTGCAGAAGAAAAACAAGGTAGAACTTAACTAAATATCTTTTGCAATGAAATTGTGACGTGACAACTTTAAGAAAAAAATTGAAAATGTCATTATATTTTTTTCGGAATCGGCGACAAACCAGAGCAGTTGGGACAAGATTCAAAGTTTAAACGAGAACAGGTTTGAGCTATCAACGTCTCATGGTAACCTAAGCAAAAGATGACAGTACTCACGAAGAAAGGTTCCCAAGTGATCCATCGCTTTTGATCCAATATTTAGCCCATAGGTAGGGACTTGTAAACTATAAAAAGCCTAAGAGTGTATGTGCCCATGTTGCGATGTGGCTGAGATATTCAAGTTTTACTCAAGTTTCTCTGGGGGGCCCTGATTTTCCAGCAAAATCGTATTTTCGAATTTTGACCTGAAACTTTGCCCACA